TCGTTGCAATCATCATGCCAAATTTGGCATGCGCAGCATCCAGCTTGTTCTTGACTTTCACCTTCACCACCGTGTGCCAGTTCTATCTACTGCGGCTCGTTATGATACCTCTTCCGGTCCCGGCTGCAATCATAAGCACCGTTTCCAAACCTGAAGGCGGTCTCCTTTGACGAACGACGGGCTTGTATCAGCATGCTGTTCATGTGTGTCTTCCTGCAGCCGGAGAAACAAGCTGACTTCAATTGCCAGAGCTTCCGCTGGCTCTTGCACTGTCCTCAACAAGGAGCACTGACAACAGTGACGAGGGTCGTCTCTGGACAGTCCCAGTTGCTGCAGGGGCTCTCGAGAAGATATCTAGGCAACCCCGGCTAAGGAGACAACTCTTGTTGGCTATATGTAGCTTGGAGGGACCAATTTTGTGGAAGAAGGTGCGTGCTCCTGCTGGCTTATTTTGCATATTCACCAACCTTTTTCCCCTTAGCCTGCGCCGTTTTTGCAACTACTTAATGAATGGGCTCTTTCCGGTCCACCAACCATTCAAGGCGGCTCCAGCGATTCCATTCAACGACAAGCGGCTGCGTCGTCACGGTTACAGCATGAAATATCCGCTGGGACCCGCCACCCCTCGTCTTTTTCGTGCCTACAAGTAACTGGCTCATCGTTGTGGATGAAGAAGCTTCAATCTCGGACAGACATGCAACCACCGAAGGGACAAATTCACATTTTGGGGATCGGACTCCTCAGTCAGCCAATGACTGTCTATCTTGAAACCAACTCGAAACTCTTGTCCATCCACCACATACCCCATATACTACGACATATCCCCATTCCTGGTCCATTTTCTCGGCTGACACAGCCTCGACTTTTACACTAAGTATGTAACCCGTCGAGCTTTCAATCTCATCGTTGGAAAGATCGATGCCTTTTTCGCGTCCCTTACTACATCTTCGACATCAAGGTTTGGTTGGTACCAACTTCCAATTGAATTTCACAATCTCGTTGAAGATGCATTTGGCGCACAGGGTTGTCTTTCATACATTGCTATAGTATACCATCCCCGATTCCGTTCACCGTGACGTCCCATAGTTCGTATGCGTCTTTCGTTGCCGAGCTGCAGAAGTGCTGCTCTTTCCTGCGGTGTTTGTCAACTTGCGCTTCGTCGCCCTCAATCGCGTGCGCCATCGCGTCCCGTCTCGGTTCGTAACCCGAACCCCGGCCGCAATCAAGCGATCCGCAATACACACCCAGGGGTTTTTGTTAATATCCCGTCTGCAGCGGCGCGCAAGGTAAGTCAGCACGACAGCACAAACTTGCAGGGGGGGTGTACTCACTCAGTTGTCGGCCACCGGAAATCCGCATCGAGGATAACTTCGCGCAAAACTGGAAGGCTGCGCGGGATGACCTGTGTGGCCAGGTTCGTAAAGAAGACCGCCCATCTGATCATCATGAGCTTTGGACGAGAAATGCCAACACACGCACAGGTCGGGGCGATAGATGTTAAACTTGAGGGTGTGTAGCGAGAGATGCACGCCGTGGGCATCGAACACGTCGACGGTTGGGGGTGCATCCGTAGTATACAGATCGCCGTCCTAAGGCCACAATCATGAGAACTGGTTCCGGTGCCCACAAACAATGCTGCGCGGGCTTACAATGGTCAGAGCCGTAAGGTTCGGGCATCCATCTAGGACACATAGGGACAGCTGGATCATAGAAAGATGGTCGGAATTCATTGAACGTAAAGCGCTGAGAGAGACACGTAGCGTGGCGAGGCGATCGCCGTGGATGAAGAGAAACAGACGGCAATACAGATTACACTGCAATGTGAGATGGCGCAGAGAGGGTAGCCTGGTCATAGCGGTGAGCGCGGCTGCATGAGATTCGGCTCGAAACATACCCGGTCTTTACAAAAGTATAGACAAGCATTCCGTTGCCCTCCGGGGGCACCTCCTGTCTGCGGTCTGTCAGCGATACAGATTGGATGTATCTTGCATATGCTGGCTTCGATTCGAGAGTTCTGGCGAGTAATACCCAGGAAACCAAAGATGTTAGCTCGACATTTCGATAGAGGACCTCGGTCCCAGCTGCCTATGACGCGATCGCATGAGCAGGCTTTGAGAGATGATGATTCAATGGACATACCAAGAACAACTTAGACACAAAAAGCAAGTTATGCGGCCGTCGATCAGCATGACTCCATCCTAGGTACCAAAATAGGCGACTGCTAGTGTTGGGTGAGACCAACGACAAGATGTGTGACCAGATACGTCGTTGGACATCCAGTGGCGCAGCGGCCATGGGGCGAAAGAAAGGGTTCGACGGTGGCAGCAAGACAGGCGTCGTCTGGGTCGGGACCAATATGCGCGAGTTGATGCGTGGACTGGTCCGTATGTCCAACTTTATCGGGCGTTCGTCTTTCTTGAGCATTCCTTTAAGGAGAAGCCGGCCATCGTGGAAGTCGTAGGCTAATTTGATTTCGAGTACGCGCAGCGGGCATTGCTTTGATTGGTTGTATACATCTCGGGCCTCGAGTAAGCTTCCAAGGACGATATGGGTGAGCGTTTTACTGGCTGCGACAACATTTAGTCCAAAGTCGTAAGCGCCGTCGGTCAGATGTGAGTTGCTGATGTCGAGGTAAATCTAAAATCAAAATTCAGTGGTCATTACTTGCGGGACGCATTGAAAGAATAGGAAACAAGACGCACAAGACGGTCCCACTTTGGTATGGCGGCCACCAATGCATCTCCCAGTCCCTGCGTCATTCTGTTAGACTTGAATCCGTTCATATCCAGAATGAGTCGGCGCGGGTTGACATATACGAGTCCTTTGCACAGCCCGTCCGTCTTCTCCACGCCGTAAATCTTGAGCGTCAGGAAGAGGTCAGTGAGGCCCACGCTGTGTAGTTCGTCGCGGTATACAAGAGTAAAAGGAAAGAATGCGCGACCAGATGTGTTTCTGAACATCAAGCGGCGCAGTAGCCATGGGATGGAATGATGGATCCGGGAGGGGCAGGTCCGGTATAGTATACGGCGCGCCACCCCGACGGTTGCGCTCCATCTGGTGATAGGCAAGCCGCGATATGCGAGGTTTTTCCGCAGGACACGACCGTAGCTCCAGTTTTATGGGCCGGTCGTCGGCCTTGAGTTTCGCCTTTATACGACCGTCGTTGCTCGAGCCAGCGTGCCATTCTTCTGATTTGATTTCCAGCACGCGGAGTGGGCATTGCTTGGAGTGCTCATATACATATTCGGCCTCGGAGAAGTCCGCGACGACGATATGGGTCAGAGTTTTGCTTCCTGCGATGGCGCGTGACAAGAATGGTCGGCTTGCACCCAGATAGCTGGCGGCGCTGATGTCGAGGCACACCTGGTGCTTCAGATGAGCAATATCAAGGAGCAGACAGCGCAGCACACACCAGCCGGTCCCATTTCGGTATGGCGGACACGAGCGCGCCCGCTAGTCCCTGATTCGCGTTGTTGGACTTGAAGCCATTCAAATCGAAGATGACTCTCCGCGGGCTGACGCGCTCCAGCCCCTTGCACAGCCCGTCCGTCTTGTCCGCGCTGTACATGTTGAACGCGAGAAACAGGTCGGTGATGTTCGGTGCATTCGCCAGCACCTTCTCCATTGAGGCCCCATAGCCGCCCTCGACCCGCAACTTGCGGATAAACGACCCCAGCAGCGGGTTGTTGCCGAGCGCGGTTGCCAGCGCGCGAGCTTGGGCCGTCGAGCGTATGATGACGACGTTGTAGAGCAGCGGTGTCGCCACGCGCAGCCAAGCCTTGCAAACGACGAGGTAGGCTGAAGTGGATTCAGAGAACTGCACAAATGGCGCTTTGTCCAGGGACTGTGTGAAGCGGTCATCGTCGACAGTGAGGGCGGGGGAGAGGATTTCGGAGATGATTTCGTCGGGGAGATGCGGGGCGGCGGGGAACATCACGCTCTGAAAGCGGTGCAGGGCGGAGCGCAGAACGAGGTGAGCGGCAGTGGCGTCAGCTGCACACAACGGTAACTGGAAAGCGGCGTAGTGGGTTTCGTTGCCTTTCCGCGAGCTTTCTGCTGGGGGGACGTGCTGGTTAAGAGCACCCGGTATGTAAACGAAAGAGAGATCAAGGGTCCATTCCCTTAAAATTCTCGGTTAGGTAACTCGATTAATCGGGATGAAGATTTGCCTGTCGGTGCGCGCCCAAATAAGTACCGTCGAATAAGCTCGTCCTTATCATCTCTGAATCGTCATTGGTCCGTCGGGAACGACAGACGGGCTGTTTTTGCTGAGCTCAAAGAGAGGGGAAAGTCGAGGCAACATCCGAGCGCTGTAACTCCGGTCGAAGTGGCGGAAAGTGATGCGCTGGTCACGAATCGTCACATCGACGCGGTCAGGCGCAATACGAGACAATTCCCCACATGGAGCAAGCATAGAGCCTGGGGACTCTAGCGCTAATTAGGCTCCACTTGACAGAATGGCCAGACTCTAAAACGCCGTGCACTAATGAAGTTGTTCGGTGTTTTACTCAGCTTACAAACTTAGGTGCTAGTCCACGAAAGGCCAGGCTAGACACAACGTATATGGATCGAGAAAACCAAGAGACAATGTGGACCGTGGCAGATGGAATCGCAAGGCACAAAATCAAGCAGTTGCCAGCTTGTCGCTGTCCGTGTTCTTGATTGCGCTTGGCACCCCTCGCAAGACTTGCAAAATGCGTTCTGTTCCATTCCATTATACCAGGGAGCTACTAGCGGCGATATCTGAGTGTATGTGTGTGTGTCTGGGTGGGTGGGTGTTTTGCGTGGGTAGCCATATAGCGATAAGCGATAAAGTAGTCTGTCGATCGGGTCGGGTCGGTGGGCGCCGCCTTTTTCCTCACTCACTGCTTGGTCCTCTCCTCTCCTCAATAAATAACTGCCTCTGCTGCCTTTCCTTATACTGCTCGCTCGCCCGCCGCATGCCCAAGTAAGCACGGCCCACCAAGCCCAAAGGTTGTCGAAAGTCAGTTGCGCTGGCGCTATAGATCGGTGAAGTCGGCCTCGCGGCGGAGTTTGGCGGGGTATCGTTTGCGCTGGACGTCCGGCAAGCGGCGCTCCTCGGGCGTCAACAAAATGTCCTCGATTTTGAAGCTCCCTGAGAGGGGCGTAAGTTGTGGCGGGGAAGATGGGAAGGCAAAGAGAAGGGAGAGGGAATGGAACGCAGAAGGAAGAAGAGAGAACGGAAGGAAATGGAGACCAACGCACACTTGTAATGCCCCTGCACCCTTGCATGGTACTCAAACCAGACCCATCCCTGCGCGACGCCGCCACATATCGACGCGGGCTTATTCGGGAACTGCTCCGAGTCAGCGTTTCCCCTTCATTGCACTGAGAAAGCAAGCCCACCTGCCGGTCGTTGGTGACGATTTTGTACGGGGACGTGCCGTACCCCGTTTCCACCGCGTGCTGCAAAGTCATCCACCCAGGGACTGCGCAAACAAGCTTCTTCAGCAGCCAGTCCTCGGCGGCGAAAAGGAAGATGCTCACTGCTCTGTAGCTGGTCGGGATTCATGAGCAGACACGACCCCGGCAGCGCCGCCACCGACGACACCAGGAACAGCACCGCAAGCACGAGCGACAGCAGCGGGGCGGGGAGTCCAAGCGAAACGGAAAAGGAGCGGGAGCGGGGCGCCATACCAGTGCGCGAAAGGAAGAGGAAGGGAAAGGGTCGCTTATCATCGCATCACGAGAAATTGGAAGCATGATCGGCAGATGGGCTCCCAAGAGGCTTGGGTGCTCCGTCGGTCTGTCCTATCGAACTTGAGTGCGCAGATACAAATACTGCATCCCTCATACTGTTTTAAATGGTCCAAGTTCTTCTCTCATGCTAGTGTAAGAGGTTTCTTGCGCAAGAGGACGTAAGACGCGTGACCGCATCCTTGACACGAGTCACGGCTTTACACGTAACGACGATGTCCTCCAGACAAACCTTCGGGAAACAAAGGTTTCTTCCGGTTTTCTGTCGCGAACTGCGTTTACTCTTCTTAGACTAATCGCAGCTTACTACTCTCAACGGACCAGTAACGACTCAAGGATGAGGACAGATAAGCAAGACTCTGCTGCAAGAGCGTATTCGACGGTATTTGGACAGGCGAACTGGCAATTTTTTCCGCCCTACCGATTGATTGCGGCGGTGAGTCGGACCAGCACTGTGAGAGTGATTTTCCTAAACGAGATTTTAAAGAGATTCAACGGAGTGGCCGTGGACCCTTGATTCCTCTTACGTTGACTCCAGGGTCAGTCTGTTTCCCTCGAGCACAAGGCCGAAAGGAGGACGACGAAACTGCATTGCTTTCCCTCGCCCAGTCTGCGGCGACTGCGAGTCGCACCGCACCTCCCCGACGAAATCCTCTCTGAAATCCTCTCAACGGCGCTCAACGTCGATGACGACCTCTTCACACAATCCCTCGCCGCCGCCCCCTTTGTGCGCTTCTCGGAACCCCCTTCAGCCTACCTCCTCGTCTGCAAGGCCTGGCTGCGAGTAGCAACGCCCCTGCTCTACAACGTCGTCGTCATCCGGTCCAAGGCCCAGGCCCAGGCGCTTTCGGCGGTGCTTTGTCACAACCCGCCGTTGCGGGCGTTTATCCGCAAGCTGCGTGTCGAGGGCGGTTATGGCGCGTCGATGTACAAAGTGCTCGCGAATGCGCTGAATCTGACCGACCTTTTTCTTGGGTTCGACACCTACAGCACGGAGAAGACGGACGGGCTCTGCAAAGGCCTTGCGTGTGTAAACCCGCGCAGGCTTATACTGGACACGGACGGATATAAGGCCAACAACCCCACGCAGCGACTGGCCGACGCGCTCGTAGCCGCCATACCACGGTGGTACCGGCTGGTGTGTTCCACCCCCCACTTTTATTTTACTAGCTGCTCATCTTACATCGCTGTCCAGGGCTGCCTAGATGTCAGCGCCACGAATTATCTGGGTCCAAGCCGTCCATTCATATCACGCGTCCTCGCGGCCACCACAACACTGACCCACGTCGTCGTGGGGGGCGTAGTCGAGGGCGAATATGTGTGTGATGAGTCGAAGCATTGCCCCCTGCGCCTCCTCGAACTCAAATCAACGACTGAATGGATCCAATGGGACGCCAACTTTCTGTCTTCACGCATCGGGTCGATGGAAGCGAAAATCAAGGCTGACAAACGGCCACTAAAGCTGGATATCCGGTCCTGCTTCCAAGAGACCCCCCACACATCCGTCCGGACCCAGTTAACCCCGCCTTCCGAGTCGGAGTCGGACCCTTTCTTCCGCCCCATGGCGGCTGCGCCACTCGATGTCCAGACGCGCATTTGGTCCCACATCCTCTCCTTTGTTCTATCCGACCGCGACCGGGCCTGGCACTGGATGTGGACCAGTGCCGAACGCGACCCGCATAACTTGCTTCTTGTTTCTAAAATGTTTCATGTGGGGCCATGCGTCCATTCCTGCGAAATTTGCTCACGATGGCATTGCAGGCGGCCGCTGTCGAGGGGCTCTATCAAGAAATCGAGCTGAAATCCCTGGTTTCGTGGGTACTACTGGCGCGGACTTTGGAGGCGAAACCGCGTTATGCAAGATACATCCGATCCGTATCGTTGAGCGACTCCAGACAAGACGTGTCCGCTGAGGGCAACAGCCTCCTTCTCGATGCGTTTATCATGACCGTGTATGCTTCGGGTCCACTCCCAGTCCGGGTCGGCCGCTGACCGCTTTCCCCAGGCTCCCCGCGCTGAACCACCTCACGTTCAAATGCAACCTATACTGTCATCTGTTTTTCTTGATGTACGCGCATCGGCTCATCACGCTGCGTGTTGCTGTCAGCTCTCTCCGCACAATGCAGCCGCTATTATCTTCTTCCGAGAATTCCGAATCACCGGAATCTCCTCCGCGGGTCCTCGACCTATGCCCCAACCTCCGGAGCTTAACCATCGTAAGCCTCGCAAGTGGTGTTCTCTGGGGATAAGTAACCCTACGCGTTTCTAGGACACCGACAGCCGATTCACCGGCGGGACTCTCGCGCTGTTCGACGCGCAGTACGCACATCGCTCGCTGCGTACACTCGTGTTCATCATCGAAAGCCTTGACCGGTGCGTAATATTATACTGAATATATAAACCTCCCGGGCTGACCCAGTTGCTTTCCGCAGAGATCACGCGTGGGCGGCTTTTTTCGCAGGGTTGGCGGCGCGGATCATCCCGCGCTGCCTCCCGACGCTGCAGGAAGTTGTGCTCAATGCGAACTTCCAGTGGCCGATAACCGAGTGAGTGCGCTCCTTCATGACACAGGTTGATGCTAATCGTACCCTGCTTGCAGGCGGGACATCAACAGATGCGCCTGGGTGGACATCGCGGATGGGCTGATTGCGGCGGGTGTTCGGGTCGCAGACCGCAACGGGACGCGGTGGCGCACGCGGTTGAAAGTGCAGAGTCGAAAATGCCACACGACGAGCAAATTTACCAGTGAAACTGAGCAAAACAGAAGAGGGGGTGCAACCAGGGTATTGAATTGAGCCCGCCTGATGGTTAAAAAGTGTATAGAACAGAACCGGACTGAAAGCAATAGACTTGTACATAATCAGTACTATGTTACAAAATCCAATGGAATGGACAGGAGAATGTTTGATTTGTGGTCTACTTCGACCTTGGGGTCTGTTGGTATTGCCCATGGTACTGGTGGTGAGTCTATTTACGATCTACGTCTGGGCAAGATGTTCTGCCCTTTGCAACTCCGAGTTCAAGTTGGGCCGCGTCGAAAGTCCGGGTCGAGGAGGGAGAAGAAAGCTCGGAGAAACTGTCCTACCAGTGGAGAAGTGTGTGCCTGCGTGGATGGAGAGCAAAAGTCCATTTTACCGGAGTTCTGCGGGTAAACCTGCGCGATGCAGATTGCATTCAAGGTCAGACTCAAGAGAAAGGAAAAGAATGCTCACAGAGTTTGTTGTTCCCGGTGATAACCAGGGCGCCCCGCGCCAGCTGCAGGGCGTACAAGTGCGCCGGCGGCTCGCGGCGGATCAGGCGGCTGAGGCGCCACGTGAACGGGTCGTGGTGGTACAGCGCAAGGTCGAAGAAGGAGACGGGCAGGAAGCAGGTGCCGCCGAAATCGAGGGCGCAGATGGTGCCGTCGTCCTTTTTCATGAAGTTGTGCCGGTTCATGTCGGACAGGCACAGCCGGAGGCCATGCGTCGCAACCTCCGGGGCAAAGTCGACGCGCTCCGGTTTATGGTACCATCTCAGCATCTGTCCTAGGCGTGAACATGTAACAAAGGGTGATAGGGAGCGGAACACCCACAGCGTTGATGTGTTTTTGGAGCAGTTCGACAGAAGGATAGGCCACCGCAGACTCCCAATCGTTGAAGAAGGAGTGGAAGATCGGGCCGCCATGTACGGGGCCCGGCTGCAGTGTAGGGCTTCGGACCGTGATGAGAAGCTCGACGGCCTTGGCGACGGCGGGGCCATCGGCGGCGCGGCACACGACCCCTGTGACGAGCTCCATGACAATATAGCCCCAGCCGTGAGTGGAAACGAACGCGAGGTAGACTTTGGGCACGTGGACGCCGGCGGCGCTGGCAGCGGCGGTACCGTTAACGGTGCTGGCGACGTAGTCCTGGGTGCGGGCCTCGGCCATGGTGACCGACCGCCCGAACTTGACCCAGGCATACGCGGTGCCGGCGGGGTTCATCAGAGGCATGCCGCGTTGGTAAGTAGGGCTGTCTTTGTTTGCGTTGAAGTGGGTCCTACACACCGCGATGATGGTGTCTGGGTTGGGGAGATCGGCGGGCTGGTCGTTGGAGGTAAGGGCGATCTCGGCGAGGGGCATGGCGTGTCTGCAGACGAGGAGACAAGAGACGGAGGTAGCAAGCCGTGAGCAGACGGTCCTGGAGGACAGTAGCTTTAGACTTGATAGTTGTGATGAATGAAGTAGTTACGGATGTGACAAATTATTACATCAGTGTTTCAGTGATCCAATGATTGTCAATTTGTCCAGCCCGTCAGTAAGTCTAAGTCAATTCAGGTGAAGACACTTCCGCTAATCAGTTTTTTAATTGGGTACCACTGATATATACTTATATTATAATTTACACATAGGGGAAATTTAGAAGCTTCTTTTGTCAGACTTTGGGTCAGGCTGTACAACTTTACAAGACTTCTTCTGAGAATGTGCGCCCGGAACAGAACAGATGGATTGTCAGGCCCACAAGCAGAGTGAGTGGGGTAGATTGGAACCAAAAGGGCCCGTTAACACAGTCCCTTGTTGCTGTCAGGGTTGAAGTTCGAGTCGGGTCATTTCAAGTCCAATAAGTCAGTGGTACCTTCTTGGGAGGAAAGAAGCAGTACTATAGAAAATTTAAGCCATAGAGTACAGGGTACACTATTGCACCTTATATATGTGGGCCTGCCGAGGGGTGATCAGACACCCTTCACCTCACCTGCTCCTCCTCGCCCTTGTTCCTGGCTGCAGAGGGGATGATTGCACATCCCTTGCAAGCCAGGCACTACTCCTAACCTCCCAGCACTCCTCCCCAGTCCCCTGGTATTGAGTTAGGCCCAGCAACGGCTCAACACATTGTTCTCGGTCACGTGCTTCCCACATGTACATTCCTCCTACTGGGGCAGCTGTTCTCCATTGTCACATACTGTGTGTTGCGGACCCGTGATAGCCCGACACCAGCGCCGGAGCGGATGGGCCAGATCTTATCCATGACATTACCCCCTTGCTAGGAACAACTTGTCTCAAGTCCGTGTGGCTCGGTCGTCCCAGTTTCTCGGGTTAAACTCTAGCTTGTCCTTCCAATCGCAAATTCCATCCAGCATATAAGCTTAAGCTAAGCTTTGGCTGTGTATTTTAATCTCCTGCGGCTTCTGTTATCTCATGGCGTCCGCAGATCCCTTCTTGCTGTCCATCAAAAATTTCACCGCAATCACATGCGTGGATCTGCATATGATACATTTTCGTCCTTTGTCACTGTTTTAGCTTTTTTTGGGCGCCCTCAGGGTGTCTCACTTTGACCTCCTTTCTGGAGTCCTTCCACATGGGCCATATATAGGCTCGAATCACTTCCCTCCCAGTCTCGTTCATTCGAGTCTCCCCCTCAATAGCCCCGGTCTACAATATCATTGACAAGCTGCTGTCGCCTTATACCAGTCCCGTCCTGCTGCTCTACGGGTAGTAGGGTGCTGTGAGTTGAAAGTGTTTCGAAATAGTTTCGAAACAGGTTTCAAAACACATGTAAGTTTTGAAATCGGTCAAGGGTCGACCTGGTTTCGAAACCAGCACGTGGCTCCGGGGACTGACACGTGATCCTCGGATCCCCGGACCACGCCATTGGCAATCGATGTTATGGCCTTGCCATCCAACTGGGGCTAACCCTGACCACTTCCGCGGAGTTCTTCATGCCAAACTTGATCGGCCAAGCTTCGGCCTGACTCGCACCATCGCCGGCTACTATCACCGGGCGGTCCGGCCCTGGTAAGCAGCCGGTTTCGAAACTGTTTTGAAACGGGGGGTGTTTCGAAACAGTTTCAAAACAGCTGTGAGTATGTGAGTAATTCCCAAGGAATTACTCACAGCACCCTAACGGGTAGTGCCTGGCCTTCTCCTACAGTCACCGAGCTTATCCTTGTGGAAGGCACAATGAACCGTTTCCAATATGTGGAAATCCTCAAGTACGGCCTCCTCCTCCTCATCGATGACTACAAAAACAATCCCGCATCTGCCAACCATTGCATGGTGTTCCAGCGAGACGGCACGTCCCCACACACACGTCACGCTACACAAAGGAATTTCTTTATGATGAGATCATCACCCCAATGAATTGGGCCTCAAAATCACCCGATATCTCACTGATTGAGAATGCCTGGGCCCATCTCAAGCGCGAGGTGTGCAAGCACCCTCGCTACACAACTGCCAATACCCAGGAGGATATCTTTCGCAAAGGAGGTTTGGGGCTCCCCAGGGTTCATTACATACGCTATTCACACCCACATATTATTCATTCCCTCGTCGATTAGAGGCTTTAAAGGCAAATAATTTCCACTGGATTGACTACTAATGTCTTCTAATATACCATAGATAGTTCATTCATATGTAGCATAGTGTTTTTCTAAAAAAAAATGGTGATATCGCTGGTTTTGATGGCATTTTGGCTGGTGGGAAATGTGACCTACCCAAAAAGGAATCTGCCTATAATTTCCCCGTGACTGTAGCACACTTTCTAGTGCTCGATGCTTTTGCCTTTGTCAGCATCAGGCTCGGGCTATATCGGGTCGTCGGGTGGTCCAACTGCAAGTAGGTCTGAGAAGCACGAGAGTGGGGTGTAAGCCCGGAGAATAGACGATATTAGCCTAGCGACTACATCCTGTAAGTACGGTTTTTATACGCTAAGAAATTAGGGATGGATCGGATGGGCACTAGGTCCCAGGGCGGATTGGATGGGCACTGCGTAGGATCCGCAGGGGTGAAGGGAAGGGGTTAAAGAATAGGGGAAGCATTGAGGAGTATGGTGGACGTGCGGGCCTGATCGGCCCTGAATGGCCCCATGGCCCGGCAGCCCAAACCGAACCGTGACAGCCTTTCTGTCATTTGGTTCGATGATCAACCCACAGTATTTGTCATTTGTTGTTCAGCAATCAGGTCTGGTCGACCTGGCAGAGTTGCCAACTCGTCAGGTTTAGCGTCTCCCTGTGCATAGAGTCGACCATACTCATTTCACTCGTCAGTCTTGTTTCCACTGTTCCCAGGCTCCTTGCCGGTCGTGTGAGTATTTCTGAGACCCTTCTCATCGAATCGGTTTCCTCTTGTGTGTTCTATATGTGAGTGTAAGGGGATCACTTAGATGTTAAAGATACCCTGCTTCCTTGCTGGCTTACGCGAGAGCCGACCCGTAGATAGTCGTAGTTTGCACCTCCTAGTAGTACAGAGGCAAACCGTAAAGACTCGGTACCCGTTACCACCCATCATCCGGCCTGGCAACCGGTCGGGCATCCCGGCGCCGATCTGTCGCATCAGCATCAGCCACGTGCCTTGTCGCACGCCAAGCCACCAATCGCTAACATTAGATTCTGTCAGACTTCAGGTCGGGCCATGCAAGACTTCTCCTAAGAACACGCGCCTGGAACAGAACAGACAGATCATTAGGGTAGACAGTGGTCATCTTTCTTTGATTAACATCTACCTAATCTAGCATTTGAGAGGTGGTCATACGCACTGTAGGACCTTGATCTCAGGGGGGTTACACTTACACTATCGATCACTTAATGAAAGTTGTTTATATAGTCAAACTATACAACTGTGATTTTGTGACAATCTGTGACATTCTCTGATGATTGTCAAAGGGCTGAGTGAAAATTTTTCTTTTTTGGAATATTTGTTGCAGTATGTGACATATGTAGCAGCATAACCTCAGCACTGAGTTCAACCCAAGTCTTTGGAGGTTTGAATTATTCATTACTATAGCATTTCATTCAGTTTAAATGCTAAAAGCAGGTAGGTAGATATTATGGAGATTGTAAGAGCAACCCTGGAGACTCCGACGAAAGCCTAGCGGGGAGGATCCAAAGCGTGAATAAAAGCTACGGGAAATACACGGAGGGACCGACCTAGCGGGGAGGATCCAAAGAGAAGAAACTCTAAGGGTCCGCCTGCTAGGGCGCCAACTATATACTGGTCGTCCGTAACTGCCGACGTAGAGCGCAGAAGGCCTGAGCGGCGTCGCAGGCTCTGTCCCAAGGTGATCGTTGGGAGGGTCTTGACAGATCGGTGATTGTGCGGGCGAAGGAGGCCGTGGACGATGGTCGGGGTGGGTCGGAGCGTCCGAGGGGGCACCGGTCGGATGCGCCTCGGATGCGTTCGGAGGGTCCAAAGGAGGCCAAAGCGGGGGTTCCCCTGACATCACCCCCCCCTTTGAAGGTCGCTGAGGCGATGTGCCGTGGTTTACCTGGGTACCTCCGATAGAAGTCCGCAATCTTGTCTGGTGCAAAGACACGGTCGAACCGAACCCACGAGTCGTGTGAAGCGTCGTAGCCTTTCCACCTGACGAAATAGTTAAGACGCTTATACCTAGGCAACTGCATGGGTAGGCCATACCCGTGCGGGTACGCGGGTTTTACCCGTGCGGGTACGGGTACGGGTAAGGGATTGCCAGGATTTTCCTACCCGTCGCTTCCTAAATCAGGTGGTTTCACTCCTGTAGATTTCTCGAGATGTTCTTGGTTTGACTCTTGCAAACTGCTGTCTTTTTATCAGAGTTTCCGGCTATTTAACCTCTTTCAATATCTGACACATCTCCATCAGTTACTGGCTACCCATGGGTAAATCCGTACCCGTACCCATGGGTACGGGTACGGTGGCTGTGCGGGTAGGGGTATGGGTAGCCGTAAAAAACCCAGGGGTTTACCCATGCAGTTGCCTACAAGTTATACCTTATCCTGGCATCCAAGATTTCCTCGACTTCCCATTCGGGGACTCCGTCCTCTAGCTCGGGGGGCGGTTCGTCGTAGCTGGGTCGTCCACTGAAGGGGTCGTCCTGAGCGGGCTCGAGCTTAACAACGGGGAAGACGGGGTGGAGCTTGGAGTAACGCGGGGGGAGGTCGAGCTTGTAGGCGCCTTTGCTAACCTCTGCGAGCACCTTGAACGGTCCGAGGCGCTTGTGGGAGAACTTCTCGGAGGGCCGAGTCGTTCTAATGTCAGAGGCGTCCAACCAAACCTTATCACCAACTTGAATATTCGGAGCGTCCGAACGTTTCCGGTCGTAGTACCGTTTATACTCGTCTTTGGCTTTAACGAGCGCGGCCTTTGCCTCGGAGACGCCGTTAGCTATCCGATCGCGAAACTTGTTCACCGACTCCAACTCTGAGCGGGCGCCTGGCTCAAAACCCATTTGGGGGAGCCGACCAGTG